CATAGACTACAAATTTCCACCTGTATTGGGCTGACAGTAGATCCAGGGACTATCCAAGTTTATTAGACCACAACTCCCATCTAGCATGTAGGCTGAGGCTGATGGTCATTGGAGATGGAAAGACGCAGATGGAAAGAAATGTCCTTACTGAAGGCCTGCTTCTCTGATTCAAGATACCAGAGATAAAACCTTCCCTTGGATGCTGTTGAGGAATGTATGGATCCATAGGGGACGAAGGAAAGATTCAGGCCAGAATAATTGTTTAACACACTCAAGTAGGCATCTATCTTGGTAATCAGTTGTTTGAGGAAAAACTGTAATGAAAGTTGACCACAAGGTGAAGATTATTGAGCAGTGGGATTTGGCGGTTTAGAAAAAGAGAATACAAGTTTAGAGTCAATCTATCATTTTCAAATCAGAGAAATCCTTCCTCGCTCTCATTTCCCTCCCTTCCTTTCTTCCCTCCCATTATAACTGCAGAAAAAACAATGGCTACCAACCTGCCTTCCATTGAGGACCTGCACACTGCACACAAAAAGAGGGCTGTGAAAATATCTAGACCCCTCGCATCCTAGACATAAATTGTTTCAACTTCTGCCCTCACAACAACGCTATAGGGCGCTGCACACCAGAACAACTAGACACAAGGACAGTTTTCCCCCCTGAACTCTGCTAAACAATTAATCCCCCCAACACTGTCAAACTATTTACCAAGTCTGTATTACTATTACTATTAGTCTTCTCATCGTTCCTATCACCCATCTCCTCCCACGTATGATTGTATGACTGCAACTTTGTAGCTTGTATCATAACGGTTTATACTGATTGTTTCCTAGTGTGATTTGATTGCTTATTTGTACCCTATGACTATCATTAAGTGTTGTACCTTATGATTCTTGACGAATGTATCTTTTCTTTTTATGTACACTAAAAGCACCTCATGTGCACCAAATTATGCACTAAAGACAAATTCCTTGTGTGTCCAATCACACTTGGTCAATAAAGAATTCTATTCTATTCTGTTCCTATGCTTTTCTATTTCTCTTCTATTTCTATTTGTATTTCTATTCTATTCTACTCTCAATTTTACTCTACTCTGTTCTGTTTCTATTCTATCCTACCCTCCCATTTTCCTTCCTTCCTCCCTCCCTCTCATTTTCCTCCCTCCCTCCCCTCTTCCTCCCTCCCTGCCTTGTCCCATCTCTTTCCCCTCCCTCCCAAGATTGGAGGAAGAGCCACAGATGGTACACCTGGTGTGTCTCAGCCCACAGCAGGGGGGAGGTGTGGAAAGCATTTCAGAAGGAGAGAAAGACATTCAGATTTGCAAGATTCTGTTAATGGAGCCTTGCAATAAAGAGCCAGCCAGCTCTCCTCTTCTGGACTGCCTCGAAGGGCTGAAACATATTTTATCACTTTTTTGCACTCTGCAGTTATCAATGGGAATGCGAGAATCAAACCTTGAGCCGCCTGCTAAGGGCCCGGGAGGTTGTGAATTCAATCCTAGGTAGAGGCAGATGTAGGGTCTCCTATTTGGGCAAGGGGTTGGACTAGATGACCTGCAAGGTCCCTTACAACTCTGTTAATCTTTTTTCCCAATTTTTTTTTATTCTCTTACATACCATTTTAAGTATACATTCACATAGTTGTTATTCTTCTTTACATTTGTCATTCTTATACATTTGTTATTCCATTTAATAGGTTATAATATACAGTTTGGGTTGCTTTATTTACCATCCCTTCCTCCTGTTTTAACACCACCTTACTTTTCCTTTCCTCCTCTCCTTCCCCTTCCTTCTTCCCTTACCTCTCTCCTACTCCTACTCTTCCTCTTCCTACCCTCTCTCCTTCTCTTTCTGTTTCTTCCACCCTCCTCTCCTTACCTCTTTCTTCCTTCCCTCCTCTTCCTCTCGTCCTCTCTACCTTTCTTTTTCTGTTGTTATAGGCATCTCTTTCAAATCTCAATTTATGTTTTCTTGGGATGGTATTTCCGTAAACCCCAATATAGTTTAGTATCATTTCTTATTCCCTTACCTCTTCCCTACTTCTACTCTTCCTCTTCCCCTTCCTATCCTCTCTCCTTCTCTTTCTCTCCCTTCCACCCTGCTCTCCTTACCTCTTTCTTCCTTCAACTCTGTTAATCTGTTAATGCACCTTCCCAGCCACCTGCCCCCCTCCTCTGCTGGCATTTACATCTGTCTTTTTTGCCTTAAAAACAGTGGCTTGGCCTTGTCTTTGTTTGTTTGTTTGTAAACAGAACCTTGCCCGCCTGGGACAGGAGGCCACGAGGAAAGAGTAGGCGAGACGGACTCTTCCTTCAGGAGAAGTCTAAACAAATCCAGAATTCATTTCAGAACAAGACCAGTAGCAGATATTAGAATACAAATCTGCCTCGTAGGTGTTTGGGTTAATCATTAGAGCAGATTACGACAGCAGTGGGAACTTCAGGGAATGGCAGTATTAATAAAAGAGCAGGGCGACTAATATAATAGTAGGGATTCTAGCCATCAAAAGAAGACTTAATATATTTTCTAGAAAAACATCACAACATTCCCTTCCTAAGGATGGGGGATTGGGGGAGATGTGTAGTAGATGCAGAGAGTTGGGATGAAGTGGTAAATGTTTTGGTGTTTATAAACAGGGGTGGCTCTTAGGGTGATACTGTGAATATTTCAAGTGAGTTTTCTCCTCCGATATTATGGGGAGGGGAATCTCCTTCTTCTCCATTATTATGAAAAAACTTCTCTTCCTTCCCCATCTCTACCAAAATTATGAGAAATAATTTCCTTTTTTCCTTTCTCTTCTTCTCTTCCATCTTTTCCTTCCCCTTTTCTCTTCCTCTCCTTCTCCTCTTCCTTCTCCTCCTTCTTTTGTTTCTCTTCCTTCTTCCTCTCCTCTTCCTTTTCCTCCTTTCTTCTCCTTCCATTCTTCCTCTTCCTTTACTTTCTCTTGCTTCTCTTCCTTCCTCTTCTTCCTTCTCTTTGTTCCCTTCTCCTTGCATTCTTCCTCTTTCTTTCCTCCACCTCTCCTCTATCCTTCTCCTCTTTCTTTACTTTCTTTCGCTTCTTCTCCTTCTCCCTCTTCTTTTCCTTTTCCTCCTTCCCTTTCCCCCCTTCTTCTTCCATTCTTCCTCTTCCTTCTCTGCTCTTCCTTTACTTTTTCTGGCTTCTTCCTCCTCCTCCTTCCTTTTTCCTCCTCCTCCTTGCATTCTTCCTCTTTCTTTCCTCCACCTCTCCTCTATCCTTCTCCTTTCTTTACTTTCTCTCGCTTCTTCTCCTTCTTCCTCTTCTTTTCCTCCTCCCCCTTTCCCCCCTTCTTCTCCTTTCATTCTTCCTCTTCCTTCTCTCCTCTTCCTTTACTTTTTCTGGCTTCTTCCTCCTTCTTCCTTTTCCTTCTCCTTCTCTTTCTTCCCCTCCTTCTCCTTCCATTCCTCCTCTTCCTTTACTTTCTCTCGCTTCTCTTCCTCCTTCTTCCTCTTCTCTTCCATCTCCTCCCCCTCCTTCTCCTCCCCTTCTCTCAGCTAGGAACATTATTTTTTTAAAAAAACCCTTCCCATCAAGGGGGCATGGGCCGGGGCTAACTTCCATTGACCTCTCCCCCCCATCTTAGACCCTCCTATCTCACTCTTTCTCTCTACTCCCCCTCCCCCATCAGTCTCCCACCCCTTTGCTCTCCCTGTCCCCCTAAGAGGAGCCTCCCCCTCCTCCCTTTTCCTTCTCCTTCTCTCAGCCAGGAACATTATTTAAAAAATAATAATAATCTCCTTTTCCTTTCTCTTTTTCTCTTCCTCCTTCTCTCTCTTCTTCTCCTTTTTTCTCTTCTTCCTTCTCCTTCTTTTGTTTGTTTTCCCTTCTCCTTCCCTCCTTCCTCTTCATTCTCCCAGCTAGGAACATTTTTTTTTTAAAGAAAACCTTCCCATCAAGGGGGCGTGCGCCAGGGCCAAACTTCAAGTTGCTGGCTGTTCCATCGCCCCCAGCCCTGCCTTGGACCCTCCCTCTCTCTCCTCCCCCTCTCCCATCAGTCTCCCCCTCCCTGCACTCCCTGTCCCCTTAAGAGGAGCCTCTCCCTCCCCCCTCTCCCTTCTCCTTCTCTCAGCTAGGTACATTATTTAAAAAATAATAATAATCTCCTTTGCCTTTCTCTTCTTCTCTTCCTCCTTCTCTCTCTTCTTCTCCTTTTTCTCTTCTTCATTTCTTTGTTTCTCCTCCTCCTTCCCTCCTTTTCCTGCCTTCTCCTTCCCTCCTTCCACTTCATTCTCTCAGCTAGGAATATTATTTTTTTTAAAAAAACCTTCCCATCAAGGGGAGGTGAGCCAGGGCCAACTTCAAGTGGCGGACTGTTCCATCGCCTCCACCCCTGCCTTGGATCCTCCCTCCCTCTCCTCCCCGCCTTCTCCTTCCCTCCTTCCACTTCATTCTCTCAGCTAGGAATGTTTTTTTTTTTAAAAAAACCTTCCCAGGATCGCGCTGCTCAACTTTGAGCCACGCAATCGTCAGAAGCTTTCCCGCTACTTTTTAAAGCATTTTTTCCCCCTGCCGGTTCGGGCTAACTGGCAAGAAAAAAAATGCTTTAAAAAGTGGGGAAAAAGAGCTTCCGACGTTTGCGCGAATCAGTTGTGAGCCGTGTGATTGTTGGAAGCTTTCTCCCCCACCTTTAAAGCATTTTTCCCCCTGCCTATTTGCCCGAACTGGCAGGAAAAAAAATGCTTTAAAAAGTGAAAAAAAGGTAAAAAGCCACCCAGTCACATGACCCCCTCTCCCACCAGGCCACGCCCACAGAACCGGGAAGAGGGGCGGAAATTAGATTTCACCACTGTGTCACAGCCCACACACAACAGGAGTGGGACTCCAGGGAGCTTGTTTGTGACTGTGGGGTCTTT